ACCCTTCTGCCCTACCAAGCACCCATTTCATACCCACAAATGACAAAGGGAGGCTGCTACATTGCTCACTAGACCAGTTGTGTTCTAGAATTGTGTTCTTTGTTTTTGGTACAACTAAAGTGTGTGTTCATTACACTTAGGACTGAATCTGTGTGTGAATGTGGATGGATGATTGACTCTCTTGTGTGAGTTTTGGTCTGTTTCCTACTTTCTTTAATTTTTTTAAAATGCCCTGCTGCTGCCATTTAATTTCAGAGCCATTTTTCCTTCATGCTGTGAGTGCCTTTACTTCCTAGAACGTCTGCAGCACTCTGATTTCGGCTAGACATTAGGCACACTTAGGCAAGTTAAGCTACTAACTGAGTACATGAAAGGAAACATTTAGTCCAACTCTCAACACATACTTTATCCGATCCTCCTCTTTATTTGTCTTTTATTGTTTTGTGCAGTTGAAACTAACTAAGGATTGTAAGACCTTGAAATTGACAAGAAAACCAAAAAGATACAAAAATACCGCCATAGATTATTCTTAAAGCATAAGCAGTTTAGTTTTGACAAACTTGATCTTTTGTGGAAAATTGGTAAAAAGCAGGGGAAACTGTTAAGCACTACTTCCTACAGCTGGTCCAGGAAATCACTCAGGTGTTGTGGGGTCCCAGAGAGATTCTGTACCAAGATGAAATGTCAAAAATGGGAAAGAATTAGGAAAAAAACCCAGCCTAGTCAATCTTCCCAGACTGGGTGGTTGAGAGCACTGACCATGAGAGAGGCTAGGAAAGAGAAGATCAGAAACTGGGCCTTCTCAGTGGTTGGTCCCCATATGTGGAATAATCTCCCAAAATACACCTGGCCCTTTCATTGGGAATTTTCAAGAGATCTTTGAAAACTCGGCTGTTTAGACAGGCTTTCCCAGATACTACATCGTCAGAGTGCAGAGGTGTGGTCAATGCTTATGTTATCTGTTTTGCCACCTTGTCTTTATTAACTGTTTTCATGTTGTCTTTTTTAGTTTAAATTAATTGATACGTTTAATTTGATTTTTGTATTGTTATTACATTGTGAATTTATTTCAAGTATTATTTGTTGTTTCGTCATGTTGTGAACTGCCCAAAGTGGCTTTGGAGCCAGTTTGGCAGTATAGAAATTGAATGAATAAACAAGCAAGCAAGCAAGCAAGCAAGCAAGCAAGCAAGCAAGTACTTACTGTGTCCAGGTCAAAAATATCCCTTATCAATTAAGTGGTTGTTGGACTTTTCTTGCCACCCCAAATTGATTATCTAAGAAAATTTTCCTACCATGTTTAGTGATATGGCCAGGCCTTTCATTTTCCTTAAACTACAGTGGTGCCTCGCTTAACGAGCGCACCGTTTAACGACTAATCCGCATAGCGACACATTTTTTGCAATCGCTAATGCGATCGCATTGCGATGTTTTGGATAGGGAAAACATCGCGTTACGATGATCGGTAAGCGTTTCGCTTACCGATCTTCGCATGCCGATGTTAGGGAAACAGCTGATTGCCGGTTCCAAAATAGCTACCGGGTGCAGAAAATGGCCGCCCGCAGCGTTTTCGCACCCTGCCCTCGCTTACCGAGGCGGCGAAAATGGTGGCTGCATTGGGAATCTTCGCTTACCGGTGAGTTTTACCCCCACAGAAACACATTAAACGGAGTTTAATGCGTTCCTATGGGGTTTTCCTTTCCGTATAGCGATGTTTTGGATAGCGACGTTAATCCTGGAACGGATTAACGGCACTATGCGGGGCACCACTGTACTCTGAAATATTTTTGGCTGCACTAAGTTGCAACAATTTAAGCTTATTACTTAGTTACTTGTGGGAAGTACGTATGTATATACGTACTCATTCTATGTCTACTGCATGGTGCACTCCCATCCCAAGTCCCCATTTACAGTTCCCTTTTCCTTCGTTGGGAAACACAAAACACCTGCACAAGCCTGAGGCCAAATCTCTTCAGTCACTTTCAAGCAAACTTGGTCTTGGTTGTACAAAAGATATTTCTGTCCACACCTCTGTTGTTCACCCCTAATCCCATGTGAATGTTCATCATTTACTTGGGGATTTTTTTTCAAATGCTCTCTTTCATTCTCCTTCTGTTCAAGATATAATAGTTTGCTAGACAAGATTATGTGGATATTTTAATTTCATTATTACCACTATTACCAGGGAACCCAGCTCTTGTTCTGAAGTTCCTTCTACACTCTTTCTGCTTCTCAGTATCTGGCTGGAGATTTCAATGTATGAAGGCAATTAAAACTTAATTTGGACAAAATTGGGGTGGTAAGGATCAAATAATCTTGTGACGAGAGAATGGGAAATCAAGAAGAAATATGGTACTGCCTTACTTATTTACATAGATTAAATGTAATTCCCGGGGGGGGGGAATTCCTGGAATTGTGCCTGGAATCAGAGGTTGTAGCAGAAACCAGGAGAGTGTTCATCACTTCTACATGCTCAAAAAGACTGTATTTGTTTATATTTAGACTCAGTGACTCTCACTTATTACTTCACTGCTTCATTCTCCACATTATCAAAAGTAATGCTGGAGGAGGCTCTTGAGAGTCCCTGGACTGCAAGGAGAACAAACCTATCAATTCTAAAGGAAATCAACCCTGAGTGCTCACTGGAAGGACAGATCCTGAAGCTGAGGCTCCAATACTTCGGCCATCTCATGAGAAGAGAGGACTCCCTGGAAAAGACCTTAATGTTAGGAAAGTGTGAAGGCAAGAGAAGAAGGGGACGACAGAGGATGAGATGGTTGGACAGTGTCAGCGAAGCAACCAACATGAATCTGACCCAACTCCGGGAGGCAGTGGAAGATAGGATGGCCTGGCGTGCTCTGGTCCATGGGGTCACGAAGAGTCGGACACAACTAAACGAAACGAAATGACTTAAATCTGTATATATCAAAGGAGCTTTGGTTTTTACTTCATGCACGTTTGCCAGAAGATGGAGTCCAGACATAGCTTCCTTGACCAGGGGATTTCAAAAGGAAGGCATAATTACTGAAAAGTCCTTTCTCACATGCTTCACTGAAACCAACAGCAATCTATTTATTTTCTAATCCAAACATCAGATGTTCCTAAAATAATATAACATAGAGAAGCATTCTTAATATGTGTCAATGTGCAATGCTTGGGGCAGATCCAAGACATTTTGTTCCCTGAAGCACAACAGCAAATGGTACATGAAATTTTCCTACCATGTTTAGTGATATGGCCAGGCCTTTCATTTTCCTTAAACTACTCTGAAATATTCTTGGCTGCACTAAGTTGTAACAATTTTAGCTTATTACTTATTACTAGAAACTTAGTTACTTGTGGGGAGTCATTGATGAGGCTATGATCTCCTGAGTAATAAGAGATCAGCAATATTTTGTTGTATGTGTATATACTTACAAT